ACACACACACACACACACACACAACACACACCACACACACACACACACACACACACACAAAAGACATGCTCTGCTCAGCCATCCTAATAGTATGAACACAAAAATATTCCTATCGTCTTGTTCGATCTGTTGTAAACCTGTTCGTCGGCTTGTAAATCCGACGGAGGCACAAAAAAAACTATCATGTTCGTTTTAATTTCTGTTGTAGGTACGATGTTCGGTTAACTCGTATTCAGGAAGACAGTGCGACATACCCGGGTCGCATTTGTGAGCAGTGTTCAGACGGGAAGGTACCGTCGTTTACAACTAATTGCCGGTAAATCTTCAGGCAGGAATTATACGTCTATTTTCATTTTGTTGAAGCAAAGTGGTCTAAGCTGGAATGTGCAACTTTAACCGAGGATTGTTGAAATTAGGCGCGAGTATACGCATAATTTATCAATATATCCAACATGCTTGGTTAACACAATGCACAAGAGCATCACACAATAGCATGATTAGTACCAGATTAAACAACAAGCAAAGTAAATTTGTATTTTTAATATCAATAGCCTGCGGTACACACACATAATTATCTTTTCTAGGGTTCTGCAAGGCTAACGATCTAGGAAACCCTTTTCTCTTCATCGAAACTTATTAATGATTATCAAAAATACATACTATTTTAGGCTGAAGAATATTTAGCATTAGAATATTGAGGAAACGCAACGGTTCTGACGTACAGGAAATATCTGAAAATGGAATAAAATTGACAGCAAATTAGATCACCTGGCGTGGATGTATCGGACGGAAACTGCAGTTCAACCGATATTTCACAAAGGATTTACTGCTTTTTTGAGCTGATTTTATCTTAAGCGTCGTTATACATTCTGACAACGGTATTTTGCACGTGCTGAAAACGAGCAGTATTTCACACTCAATAAAGCAAGTTAAAGAGTAAATGCAAATAACCCTTTTTTCAGATAAGCATCGAGAGAAAATCAGTTGAACAATAGCTAATTTTCTTAAAATAGCACGTATTATAGCTGATGATAAAGTAACCAATTCCAGGAAATACTTGTATTTTCTTTCTTTCTTTCTTTCCTTCTTTTCTAGCTAACATATCTCTTTCTAGCACAATCCCTCTTATCAAAGTGAACTGAACTGTAAATATAACGTATACGCGCCTTTATCTACATCGGGATAGATCTAGTAATATACATCTTTGAAAGGAACAGAGTGGTTATAGATTCGTATGACATTATTCTTTCAAGTGGGTTGATAATTTCAATGCAGATTTAATCCGGCCAGGATGTAATTACATTGAGTACGCGACGCATCAGTAAGTAAACAGACTACGAATATTCCACAGGATATTGCTATCACAACTAATGATTCTGGAAAAAAAAAAACTTACTTTTTTGTTCATATTCCGTTATAAAAGTTTTGTTATTCTTTTAGTATTCATCGTCACCATCATCATCATTGTCATTACACCGTTATCATTGTCATTATCCGTTTTTTTATTATTATTATATTATTATTATTATCATCATATCATTCCCATCATCTTTTATTATTTATTATAATGCTTTCTTGATTATTTGAAATATGATCCGGAAGAAACATATTTTGGTTGAGCATTCATAAACAAAGAAAATTTGAAACAGGAGAAATATATTTTGTGATTCAAGTAATTATTTTGATTCAGTCAGACAAATACGTGACAATAAGATTCTTAATGAGTGCATCCGAAAAACTAACGATGTGATTTTCGGTTATGAGAGATAAC